AAATTTAATTAACACAATTGATAAATCTTATCGCACTATCTCTTTTATATAATCATTTTTAATTATATACACATATGAATTCTCCAAAGTGTAAAATTTATTAGTATCCAAAAGTAAAAAAGAAAAAGAAACAAGAGGCAAGCCAAATGGTTTTATTAGTTTTCCACGTGTTTAAAGACTGGTAATGAGATTGTCCAACAAACGATCTCTAATACTCAAGTTAGCATGATAATGTGAATTTAATGCACATAGATAATTACAATGTAGGAATTTTTTGATCCAAATTAGGTTGGATTTTTTGAGAAATTATTTTTTTCCTTCTTTACACGTATTTTTATTGAAAAAATATTGTTTCATTTATTTCACGTTATTTTTGTTCTTGTTCCAATCATTGTGGTATTTCTATGGTTTGGTATCCCCCCTTATAAATATTAGACTATTTTCACAAATTTTGCATTATTGAAATATAAAAATAATTGTTTAAGTACAATTATTGTATTTTTTTTCTCTATGTTAATTAATTGAATAAAATATTATGTTCCTCTACCAATTAATTCTTTGTCTTTTATTTATTTATTTGTGATCATATACTTCATATTTTATCATATATATTATTTCGAACCGTTTTATTTCTCAACAAGTGGTATCAGAGCTATCGATTGTGATTTGTTCGATTTTTTTGTTATTGATGGCAGTCATAAAGTATGAAATTCCTCTTTTGAATCGCAATACAAGATTCTCGTTGTGGCAGGTAAAGATGAGAGTTGTACTCGCACGGATGGATTTGGATGATACGTTGTTGAGATTTGACAAAATGCCACAATTTGAACGACGAAGGAGAAACAACGAAATGATCGAAATGCACTTTCATATATATATATATATATATTTTCATTTCTCTAACAATATTATTGAGGATGTTTTGAATGAGAAAATGGTAACTGATTTGTGGTTGAAGTTGGAGTAGTTGTGTGTACTGTCGTAGGCACCCAAAAATAGTTCTTAAACCTCTAAAACTAATGTAGTAATGGAAATAATGGTCGATCCCACGAAGAGTGTGTAATTCAACAATTTATGCTTCGTATAACGATTGGGGGGTTTTGTATAACGAAATCAATCTTATAACAAATAACAATATAAATTAACGAAATGTATTAAAACAATAAAACGAGTTTTGCTCAAAGTCAACTTCCACCATTGGAGATTTATAATCATTCATCAATCCAAATTCACAATATTTAGCGTTTAATTTAATTAACACAATTGATAAATTTTATCGCACTATCTCTTTTATATAATCATTTTTAATTCTATACACATATTAATTCTCCAAAGTGTAAAATTTATTAGTATCCAAAAGTAAAAAAGAAAAAGAAACAAGAAGCAAGCCACATGGTTTTATTAGTTTTCATGGCAGTATGCAAGAATTTTAGAGTGAATTTGATTTGCTGTATTGAGGTCATTTTTAGTTTTCACTTTTTTAAAACTGTCAAAACGTGTTTGGTATGTTATTGTTAAAAATGCATTTTCGAAAACAAAGAAAAATTTACAATATAAAACTCAAAATGACTTTTGACGTTACACTCAAAAAACTCAAAACAAGGAAAAGGAACTTAAACATTTCTCAAATTAAAATAATTAATAAAATCACACAAAACCTACACAAATACAAATACCCACAAAATTAAATAATCCCATATAAGCATAAAATTAATATGTTTTACTAAATAATCAAATTAATAAAAAAAAATGTCAAAAAACTCTTTCTAATTTTTTTTAAACTAAACACATTTTCTAGTCTTTTGTTTTGAGAAACAACTTTTCGGAATAACAAATTAAACGCATTTTCTGCAATTTTAAAATAATCCTTCAAAACAGAAAACAAAAATTGAATTCAAAATTGAAATTAGAAGACACAAAACACAAACCAAACGCACCAACACAAACACAAACCAAACGCACCTTATTCTTCCAAATTACATGGCATTATTTTTCTCGCTGGGCACAGGGTGAATCCACTCATGTTTAGCAGAATCTACAAATTTGATGTGTGTTCGTTGAACTTTGATATCATTTCAGAATCATTGAATATATAGTGAAATTACGAATCTTTAAACTAAAATGAGATTTTAAGAAGAAAAAACCTTACTTTTAAGTAGGTTCATATTGCGCCCTTTACATCAATTCTATTTTTCATCATTAATAAATAGTAAAATTGTTAAAGAAAATAAAGCTTGATTCTACCGATTTCACTCATATTGTAAATTGATTGCAGCATATTTTCTTTCCATGTATAAGCACAGATTATAGGAATAGGTTAAGGAATAAAATAAGGCTTTTGATTTCGTTAACCTCTGTATATATAGGTATCTTAATTTTCAATGAAATTATATACAAAAGCTTCATAGATACAGAAAACTTTTATGGTATCAGAGCGTTCAAAATTTGGGCACCAGAATTGTGATTAAAACTCCAGCCGACTTCCATGGCAGAAAGCATGGCCTTGAGTAGAAGGTGGGACAACCCCAACCACCAACTTTACCTTCACCACTCCGATCAGCCCGACGCCATCCTTGTGCCACAACCATTGTCCAAGGACAATTACAGCACATGGAGTCAATCCATGACTATGGCCTTAACAGTCAAAAACAAGGTGGGGTTCGTAGATGGCTCGATCAAGGAACCTGATGCGAGCGATGCGGATGAATTGCAACAGTGGAACCGCTGCAACAACTTGGTTAAAACTTGGTTGCTGGGATCTATGTCCAAGGAGACTGCCAGCATTGTTATCAATTGCAAGGATGCTAGAAGGATGTGGCTCGACTTACATGAGCGATTCTCACATGTAAACGCCGTCCAACTGTTTAATCTGGAGAATGAAATCCATGATTGCATCCAAGAAAACATGACTGTGGGGTCTTCACGAAATTGAAAGGCTTATGGGATGAACGTGATACGTTAGATGCATTATTACCATGCACCTGTAAGGCAATGAAGAAGATGGCTGCATATATAGAAACACAGAAAACCATGAAATTTCTTATGGACTTAACGAATCCTATGGAGGTGTTCGAAGCAATGTTTTGCTACAAGATCCATTGCCTATAGTGAACAAAGCGTATTCATTAGTTTCCCGTCATGAGAAACACTCGGAGGTGACAACAGGGAAAGGCCATAATCAACCGGAAGGGGTTGTTTTTGCAGACAGAAATTCCCTCCATGAACTTGAAATTGAGGTGAAATGCTCCAAGTGTAACAGAACCAATAACACCACCAAGAATTGTCACGCCCACCTTAAGTGTAGTTTCTGCGGTTGGAAGGGACATACCGTCGAGTATTACTGGAAGAAAAAGGCAGCAGAACTTAAGTCTAACACATCAGTTTCGAAAGGGAATCAAGCCACGTCTCGCTTAACCAATGGAAGGGAGATGAACTTTCCCTTTTTAGTAGATGAGTGCCAGCAGATTCTCAACATGTTGAAAAATAAATCTCACTCTGCAAATCAAGTAGGTAATTGCTCCACTTATGATAAACTACCAGGTAAGGCCTTCTCATTAATCTCCAATGGTACAAAAGACACGTGGATTTTGGATAGTGGATGCACCGATCATATGGTTTGTAATCCTCACTTACTCACTCTTTCAAAACCTATTCATAATCACACTATGGAATCACCAAATGGTTCCACGACTCAAGTAACTCACATCGGGAAAATTGTTTTATCTCCTCACTTAATTCTTGAAAATGTGTTATGTGTACCATATTTTCGATTAAATTTGATTTCCATTAGCAAGTTGATTTCTCATTCACATTGTATAACCATCTTTCTAAGCCAAGTTTGTTTCATTCAAGACCTACGCTCGGGGAAGACGATTAGGACGGGAATTGAATGGGAGAGCTTCTATTATCTGGACTGAACCAAGAAAAAATCATGCCATCACGTCCAGACATCTAATCCGACCCTTTGGCACCAACATCTTGGACACCCCTTGAATAAAGTATCTTCGTTATTTTGTTTTCCCAATTTTACGATTACATCTTGTGCTACCGATCCATGCTTAATTTGTCCATTAGCAAAGTAGACAAAACTTCCATGTTCTTCTAGTTCTATCCATTCTACAAAGTGTTTTGATCTAATTCATATTGACAGTTGGGGTGGTTATAAAATTCCTTCACTTTCTAGCGCTAAGTATTTTCACACCATCGCTGATGATCACACTCGATGCAATGGACTTACCTCATGAAACACAAGTCAGACACTAAAAGCCTCATAATGAAATTCATCAACATCGGTGAAAATCAATTCAGTTCCAAAGTCAAAATTATTCGTAGTGACAATTGCGCCAAATTCAAACTCGAAAACTTTTATGCAAATAAGGGTATAATGTACCAAACTAGTTGCATTAACACACCACAACAAAATGGCATTGTCGAGCGAAAACATAGACATTTATTAAATATGGCACGCGCTATTCTCATTCAAGTTGGCCTTCCTCATCGTTTTTGGGGGGACGCTGTTCTCACTTCAACATACTTAATTAACCGAACACCCACTCCACTCCTTCAAGGAAAAACGCCATATGAGAAATTATTCCACAAAGTTCCAAATTACTCAAACTTAAAGGTATTTGGTTGCTTATGTTTTATTTCCATCCATGCATAACACCCCTCAAAGTTTGATGCGCAAGCCTCTTGATGTGTTTTTCTTGGCTATCCTTATAGCCAAAAGGGCTATCGTGTCTTTAATCTAACTCAGAACAAGGTCGTGGACTCAAGGGATGTCACCTTCTTTGAAGCCACATTTCCTTTCCAGAATGCTCCCCAATCAGCTGCACCTTCCAGTCCTCTCACCAATGAATCTACATCACCATTAGAAATACCAACAATTTCATCTCCCGTATCTTCCTTTCCTCCCACGGAACCACCCCCATCTCAACATAATCATTCCTCTCCAACAAGTCCAATCTCACCCAACATTCCGCCCGACAACCTCATGGAATCTACTCCAGATTCTCCTTCCTCACAAAACACGCCAGCCTCAATTCCTTCTTCCCCACCTGTTCATCCCTCGGTGGAGACAATGTCACCTCCACAACATGTTCCCTCTCGCCGTCCACATCACCAAACCAAAACACCTAATATGTATGATTAATTACGAACTATCTAACAAGCCCAATATTGATATATTTATCATTACTCTATTAATATTTAAATATTTGGCCCAAATAAAATTGAAATTAATATACGTTACTCTAGTCCACCAACTTTCAAAATGAGAAATGTAGTAGATGAAATAAATAATTTTATTCTGTAAATTTTCGAGGTGTTACATCCTAAATCTTTCATTTCAAATTTAGCACTTAAAGCCTTTTTAATATCATTTATATTACTCATTTTATGTGTCCAATCAACAATATATCATCAACATACAAAAGAATGTAAACTATCACATCATTCATATCATTTCTTTTAAAATAAAGACAATGATCAAAGACACTTCTTATAAAAACCAATAGATGGCACAAAATTGTCAAATCTTTTATATTATTGCCTAGGTGATTGTTTCAAACCATACAAAGACCTATTTAAAAGACAAACATGATTAGGTGTTTTAGAATTAATGAAACCTTGTGGTTGAACCATGTAATTAGTTTCATCTAAGTCACCATGCAAGAAGACAGTTTTAAGGAACAGTTACTCAATGGCTCGAGATTACACAGCCAATCTAAACAAATACAACTCTCAATCGAAGGACCACAAAGGAAACAATTACACAGATTGAAGATTAAAACCGGAAGTTTTAATCCATACACTAAGTATTGAAATAGAATTGAGAGAAGAAAACCACGAAGGAAAAGAACCCAAAAGCTACTCAGACGCGAATGAGAGAACCGAATGAAAAATTAGGGCTCAAGTGACTATTCAGCTGGTATATATACATTTCATAGTCACCATAGATCAACCATGAAATCGAGGGTCCAGAGCAGCATACGCGGGTTGGTTTTGGGCCGGTTTCTAAGTGTTATCGGGCAATGGCTGATAACATCCAGCAATGGGCCAAGCCCAGTTTGGAGAGCAAATGTCAATAATGGCATCACAATCCAACATATCATATACTTTTTATTTTGTTATATATATCAACTTAATTTGTTTTATTTCCTATCATATAAAATATTAAAGTTCTTAAGATAATTTGAACATGATGCACATAATGTAATTTACATGTCTAAAATTTTCAAGAATTGCCAGAATCCCATTGTCAATGGCCGTTGGCATAAACAAAACTTTACAAATCCAACTGTACAGTGTACACACGTACACATTCATGACATATGTAACTTAAATTCGTCAGACATAAACTATTTGGTAAAATAGTCACACACACAGAGCAAACTGGAGTTCTGAAAAACTGATAAAACTGTTGGGATCTGACACCACCAGCTGCGGCGGCGGAAATAAGGAAATGATACCGGAGTTAGTAATGGAAGCAGTGAAGAGAACATCGAAAAATATGGAAGAAATGAAAACCCATTTGCAACAATTCATGTCTTATTGTGATGTAGACACACTTGCCAAAATGGAGCCTCTTGAAAGGGCTCAGGCCCTCTTCTTGCTTACCAAAGCCACCATCACTCTATTCACCGGTGTGTGTGTGTGTGTGTGAAAAATAAACCTGCAGCATTATTAAAAAACCCATCTTTTTTTTTTTAGTTTTTTGAAGTGAATTTCGAGACTGGAACCGAATTTCGGTTTATAAATTGCTTGCCTGAGAAATAAACACACAGAATTAGTTGAAGACATCTATTATTGTTGTTTATTGTGAGTAATTATAATTATATTTTATTCTTGTGCAGCCTTTTGCTAGAAGACTGTTTGTCTATTACTTTTTATGATTTTTTAAAAATGATTTATGAAATTGAATTGATGTTTTTCTTGGCTGCAGTGAGGCTGAGATGCAAGGGAGTGAACCCGGATAATCATCGGGTTAAAAAAGAGCTTGTATGTGTTTATTTACCAATTTACCTTTCACATATGTGATGATTGGTTTTCATGAATCTGAGGATTTAAATTTTGGCTAGATAATATTCATTTTTGGTGCATTTTGTATCCGTATTAGGATTTTGTGTTCCTATACAAGACAAATATTTTTCTCTTTTCAATTTGGTTCCATCTATGTACTCTACACTTCGAGTTTGCGTGTGTGTGATAACTTTGTTCTTGAACAAATGTGCGTCTACATTAGTTGATTTTAGTCTAAATTGATCTCTTTTGAAGGGTGGTTTTCAAATAATGTTAACCGATTTCTGATTACATGTTGTTGCCAAATTTTCATTTGTTCGTATGCAAAAGTATGTGTACTTTTTCCTATTGGGGTGTATGTTTATCGGCGTCGACAAGATAGAAATTGTCACTTTATGAACGCGTGTCTACGTATGAGAAAAGTGACCTAGTGTTTTTTCATGTTGTTGTTGCTTTAAAATATACTCTTCTAACGATCATGTATGTAGGAGAGATTGAACTTGTACGAGGAGAAATTGAAGCAATGCATGGATTTAAGTCAAGTTATGTGTTGATCATGCTCGAATCACAAGTTTAAATATGAAAACTTCTGCACTTTTTATAGCTTCGATACGTTAGTTTTCTAAAACCCAAGAATTAAAGCTTATCTTTTAAGTTGTTTCTACAACACCTCTTCGACCTTCAGTCACCATTAATATTCCAGCAGCTAACTATTTTATTGAGCATTCTTTGTGTTAGGATTGATATCACTTGTAGTGACACCAATCATCGGATTGAGATGTTGAAGTTATATGACAAATAATAATGAAATATTTGATCAAGCAAAATAATAAACAAGATAAGAATATGACAAAGGAATTAAGAGATTTTATTGATTCAAGAATAATGAAAAAGAGAGAAAATTACTTCTTATTAGAGCAATTAACTAGATATAGAAGTGTGTGTTTTTGAAAATTTAAATATACGAATTCAAACCTTGTTCTAGTCTTGCATTCAATTTATAATTCTTTAATTCAATTCAATCAATGCATCCAAGGTGTTTGTTGTAATAGGAATATGAAAAAGTGACATTCTATCACTTTTCTATCCCAAACAAAGTGAGAGTAAGTGAAAAAAGTAATAAATATTCAATAAATTAAATTTGTTAACTTGCATATAAACTTAGATTTGGAAGCTATTCAATAAAGTGATAAATATAAAAAAAAAATGATAGAAAGTCACAAAAATTGATGCAGAATATATTGTTTTCTTGATTGCCTAGCCTTGATTCCCGTTTTACAAACATTCTTAGTTTTGACACTTTTTTTATGTTTTTGTCACCTTTTAAGAAAATAAAAAAAAAATGAAATAATATGTTATATTTTCCTAACATAATCAGCATGTGGATTGGCCTGAACTTTGTGATTATTTTAAAAACATGATTACTAGTGATGTCCAAATGGATGGTGTTATTTTAGTATTTGTCACTTTTTTTGAGTTTGTGTCACTTTTTTTAAAAAAAGTGAAAATTTTGATAAAAAAAGCGACATCTTGTCACTTTTTCATTTTACACAGTATTTTTTTACTTCCTAAAAAATTTTCATATGATTTTTCAAAATATCCCTAATTTTAAGGGTATTTTTGTAATTACCTCATGTTTAGTTCCCGTCTCATCGATGCTTAATCCTGACTTCGTGAGATGTTCATTTCTCGCCTCTCACTATCGTTGAGCCTAGGTATAAGACCTCGTCTATCTGAGCCCAATTTATAAGCCTCCAGTAGTTCGAGAGTTAATCGCGGGATGTTTATTCTTCACATAGTCAGACGCTTATTCCTGGCTTTGTGAGATATTTATTCATCGTCTCACTACGCTCTGGCCTAGCTACAAGTCCTCGTCCATTCGAGGCTAGCTGGTAACCAGTGTTCTAAAACTCGCGAAAATGCGCCGCCTAGGGGAGACCCCCGGCCAAAACGCGTCGAATTCGACGACGCGCGGGAAAATGCGTTTCCATTTAAAAGGTGGCACAATGCACGGGCCTAATCCCGCCTAGGCGCGCATTATGCCGCCCAATATTTTTTTTTTTGTAAAAAATCTATTTTTTTATATAAAAATATATTTAATGCCTTAAAAATACGAAACACATTATGACGCTTATTCTTCGCATTGACATGCCTAAACTTGTGATTCTTGATTCTCAGTCTCGACGCTTCGCAACGCATTACGCATTTTAGAACACTGCATAGAACTCCACTGGCATTTCGAACTTGAATTCTTTATGACGTGCACTTCAATTAGAATTCTTCAATTACTTTAAATACTTCAACAAAGGAATTCGGGTGACACCCAAATTCCAACACTTTGTTCGATCTTTCCTTAGGTAGGTTCTAATTTGACTTCTGTGCATCAATTTCATTTGCATTCAGTTGCCTTTTGAATAATTACCCCGTTTTGCGTAGTAGAAGCAAAGCATGAGTAAAATTAGTAAAGAGGATTGCACAAGGATTAATTATTTGGAGAAAAGTGTCCAAAAGAAGTGAAACTATCAGTATCCGAGAAGCAATCTGTCCGTTCTGCTGCATAGGAATTTCTTGAGAAAGCATCCTGTGAGTTGGTAAAAATAAGTGGCTTTAAAGGACCTTGACAACCTGAAAATTCGGACGAGGATGTCATAATTCTGGATTGATCTTCTGACAGACTTTCTTCTTTTATTGACCGACTATTCAGCTTGATAAGATATCAAATGACATTCTGTCATTAGACATTGTCCAAAAAATGCAGTGTTGGAAGCCAATGCAGTGCTACCACCATTGCATCTGACACTTGTTCAGGGGGATATTCACCGTACAAGTAGTTTAATCCTTTACTGAATATTGTGGCTTTGTTTTTATTTTGAACCTCCGAGTGAAAATGCTTGCTCGACCTTTTTTTCCCTCTTTTTGTGGAGCATAGATTTCTGTGTCCATGCAGTTACTCCGATTTGACGATAAAGCACTAGGTCCTATGAATTCATGAATGGTAATTTTCGCTACCGTTTGTAAAGAGAATTAGACAATACACGACAATATTAAGAAAATGAAAAGAAACTAAAATCTTGTCAATTATACTGTCTATTACGATCTATTATTGTATCCCAAACAAACACTAATTAAATGTTTGATAGGGTGGAATGGATATTATATTTATTAAGGAAGAAAAATAAACTATAATCTTGTTCATTATTACGGAAATCAAGTATAACGTTAACGCCAAACAATTATGATCGAAACCTTGGAGCATAATTTCGTACTCATAAACCTATTGATGTTGATAATTAGAGAGCTGCATTTGGACTGATGGATCAGACAATGGAAACTTTAAATGTGTTCCTCAAAGGAGTATCTATATTTATTTTTTATACAATGCTTTCGATGATGAATGAATGGTAATGATACAAGGTGACAACAAAAAGAGTTCCCTATCTATCTATTATAATCCACAATTCGTATAGGAAACACTGTCTTTTGAAATGATAGGAGGGTCGGAGTTCGATTTGTCACCATTGCCCTACCAAAAGATAAGAAATAATTGATACTTGGTCCCACGTTGGTGGATGAAAAAAATCATTTGTCACTTTCGATCAATCTCGATATTTGGGATCCTATAGGTGAAGACATGGTCTACCTGGATCTTGTTGGTATTCATTCAGTCGGAGGAGGAGCCTTGTAAAGATCATTCTTATTAAAGAAAGACAAGAAAAATTGCGTAATTTGCAACTCATGCACTAACCATCCATTCAAGATACTTTAAACACAAAGAAAACTTTATTTGTCGAGCACCCAAGTGATGAACACAAGACACAATAAAAACTAAACACATTAATGATCAAAAGTCCCTTACTAGTGGCTCTCGCTCATATACTCATAAGGGGTGGCTATCACATAAAGATTTTCTTTTCTTGAGGTTGTTATCCCAGGATTCTCTATCATGTTCAAATCTTCGTGCTTGATTCCATTACAAAGTTTCCAATCGAAGTTGTAGAGAAGTTGAGCTAAAGGAAGTTCAACGTTAGCCAAACCAAATGTCATTCCAGGACATGCTCTCCTTCCCGACCCGAATGGAAGATACTCAAAGTCACCTCCTATGAATTCAAAGGAACCTTTTTCAAATCTCTCGGGTTCAAAACTTTCGGGATTAGACCAATATTTAGGATCTCTTTGCATTGCCCAAATATTCACTAACACTTTGACTTTGCAGAGTACGGTATAGCCATTGATCTCACATTCCTCCCTAGAAGATCTTGGGATTATAGGAACAGGAGGGTGTAGTCTAAGAGCCTCTTTGATTACCAGCTTTAGATATTTTAACTTCCGAGTTGTATTCTCATCAATGATTTTAGTTCCATTAAAGATTTCTCGGACTTCGGCTTGTGCCTTTGCCATTACTCGCGGGTTCTTCATAAGTTCGGCCATGGTCCAATCGATAGTCGTTGATGAAGTTTCCGTGCCTCCAGAGAATATATCCTGCGGTAAAACCATAAATCTTATCCGGTAGAACTTAAAATCCAGATTTTAATCTAAGTCAAAGTCAACAATAACTAATTTTAACCACACAATTTATGTGGTCTACATTTTTTCAATCACATATTTTATCAACTTTTATTAAAATCTACTAAAAATCTAATTTTAATCCCCACCAAACATGGGCATATGAGTAAAAACATATACAACGAGGATGAGTATGGCACATTCATTGTATTGTCGAATATATACTTACATATACAATAGCTTTGATGTTGTCATCGTTGATTGGAATATTGAGTTCCCCACTTTCCTTCACTCGTAGCAAAACGTCAACTAAATCTTCGTCACCAAACTCTCCATTGAACTTCCTTGACGAGTCTTTGTGCTCATTGATGATATTGTCGAGAATCACATCAATCTTTCGTCGCATCATCAATAATTTTATCTTACTCCAACTTAAGCAATTAAGTATCTTAGAAGATGGAAAAAAATCAGCTATCACGATTCCTCCTGCTAATTTTATTCCTTCGTTCAATAATTTTATATAAGTACCGCTCTCCTTGCATACCTGTGGAGGATAATTTAAAAGAAAAAATTTGTTCTCTCTCTATTAAGTTAGCCCTTGTTTGGTGCTGATTAAAAATTGATACAAATGTAAGTCAAAACAGCAATTAATCTTAATTACACAATTCATAAAATCCATAATTTTTATCAAAGTCTACTAAAAATCTACTACACCAAAAGGGGTTTAATCTTTCAAATTTCTAGCATATTTGATGAAGTTGAAAACGTTCTTTTAAGCATATTTACATATAAAAGAAACTTTAAATAAAGATTTTGTTAGTGAAATGAAGTCATTTATTTTTCTAGTGAGACAAGAATTACTTTTCAAAAATTAATTAAGTTTTTAACTAAAAATTAAATAAAAAGTAAGTTATCTAGACATATTTGACAAAACTTTTACTTTTTTAAGGCTTAGCCAAACATGTTGGTAGCGGTTCAACAAGGTATTAGAGTAGACGAAATAATTTAATTCAGATTAGATTTTATGAAACTTGTGCACATAACCGTTTATCATTAATCCTCGTGCACATGGAGGTGCGTATTAAAGATAAATAAATTTTGACATGCCTCTAATAGCAAAAAAGTACCATAGCCAAACAACTTGGTTCAAATCTAACTAAAAATTTAAATCGGTATGTACATGAAAGAATTCATTGAAGACAACAATACCTTGCCAAATGCAGCTCTACAAGTAATGGAACTTGTCAATGAAGAAATCTTCTCACTTAGATTTATGGGTTCTCCAGAAGATGAGTTAATAGATTTGATGAGATGAGAAACCTCGTCGCTCCGAATGGAACCATATGATCGAACATTTTTCGGACTTAAGAGTTCCATAATGCATATTTTACGCATTTGTCTCCAATAATCCCCGTATGGACTAAACACAATATCAATATAGTCGTACCACATGATCTCCAATGCTATTGATTCTGGTCTATCTGCAAAAATTGGATCATGATCTTTAAGCGCTGATTTCGCAATTTCTGGTGAAGATATAACAACTATAGGAACTTCACCAAGCTGTAACTGCATGATTGGTCCATAAGTTTTTGCTAAATCTCTGTAAGAACGAAAAGGAAGTGAACTTATGAGATGCAAATGTCCAATTATGGCATTAAAAAATCCTGGACCACCTTTATTTTTGTGGGCTTTGGATTTAATCAATTTCTTTATCTGTAACAAGAAGAAGATTAAGGGTACAAGGAAAATCAAAGTGGTGAAGTAATTAAAATGAAAATGGACATCCATTTCACTTGAAAAAGAGAGGAGAAATTTAAGGTTGGATGCCCTAGGATTGGCAAGAATAATACACAAAGATTTGTATATTTATACACAATGGTGTATAGCTCTTGGGGAAAAAAAATCATTTCTTTAGTTTTATGAATATTATTAAGAAAACATAAAAAAAATTTAAAATTAATTTTGTGAAAATTAATATTTTTTAAAGAATATATAGTTTCAAAATAGAAAAAAAAATTACGAAGTCCTATGCAAAATTATTTTATTCTGGAAAAATATAATAATATACTATCGCTTAATTCTTAACGCTTAATTATCAATCTATATTTGTCGGGGGTGTTGTCTTTATTGAAATGATTAATCATGAAAGTTTTTAATTACTAGTGAGATTCAACCAATATAATAACATTTATGACAATGTCGAATCGAAAAGAAAAAAAAAAAAAAAATTCGTGAATAATATTTTATGAGATGCAAATGTCCAATTATGGGTAATTTTTTAGGACCTTGTGGAAAATTTTTGTGGGCTTTGGATTTAATCAATTGCTTTATCTGTAACAAGACGAAGATTAAGGGTACAAGGAAAATCAAAGTAGTGAAGTAATTAAAATGAAAATGGACATCCATTTCACTTGAAAAAGAGAGGAGAAATTTAAGGTTGGATGTCCTAGGATTGGCAAGAATAATACACAAAGATTTGTATATTTATACACAAGGGTGTATAGCTCTTGGGGAAAAAAAATCATTTCTTTAGTTTTATGAATATTATTAAGAAAACATAAAAAAAAATTTAAAATTAATTTTGTGAAAATTAATATTTTTTAAAGAATATATAGTTTCAAAATAGAAAAAAAAAAAATTACGAAGTCCTATGCAAAATTATTTTATTCTGAAAATACTCGGTTAAAAATAAATTTGACAAAAAATAATTTTAAAAATCTCTATCAAACATTGGAAAAATGGGTTTAATAATGAGTGGATGTGATTCTAGGAAAAATATAATAATATATTATCGCTTAATTCTTAACGCTTAATTATCAATCTATATTTGTCGGGGGTGTTGTCTTTATTGAAATGATTAATCATGAAAGTTTTTAATTACTAGTGAGATTCAACCAATAATAATAACATTTTTGACAATGTCGAATCGAAAAGAAAAAAAAAAATTCGTGAATAATATTTTTTTAAGCCGTGTATAATATTTCTTATTAAACATACTCTAAGCTCATGTTTGGCTTCCATTTCATAAGACTTATTTTTTTCTCAAATTCATTTTCAAAAACACATTTTACGAGTTCCATTACTTTTATCAATTTTTTAATAACACATTTCATCAACTTTTATCAAAATTTATTAAAAATTTAATTTTTAGCGAAACCAAAATTTGACTAGGTGCATATTATGTTGTGCCATTTAGAAATGATAAGGTTTGTTAACGTTTTGCCAAGTAGCATTGTTAGTAGGTAATAAAACGATTAAAACTAGTTATAGACGCTTTTGCAAAGTTTAAATTTTAATTTAAGTAGTCAAATATACTTTTTATCCATACATTTCGTAGGACTCACTAAATGCGCTGAAAAGATGAAGGTACCTTTTTTTGCTCATTCCTCCTATAAATACCCTTCATAGCGCCGAGGTAACTGAAGTCTATTCGAATCAAATCTCTATAAATGTCTTCCAGCACCCATTTTCTATCCTTTGACTTAAACGTCGTAGTGCAAATGAATATTGTGCCTCCTTCTGGTTCAATGATCTTGCAATCTAACATGTCTCAAGTGTTCACGAGTTATACAAATGGACGTAGAGTTAGTCGGGTTCTATTAACTTTGGAGTCGTTCAGATTTTGAGATCAATAGTACATGGCGTTCCTACTTATCACTTCATCGTGTTTAAAAGATGTTAAAATAAAAACACGCATTCTAATGTTCTAATCTAATAGACGACATTTTCATGACCCTACCATTTTTATTTCTGAGGCGCCACATGTCCATTACTTGGATTTATGATGCATTCCTCAACTAAGCATATTCCTTCTATTTGGAGACTATATATAGACGATGAAATATGAGAGTAGTGAAATCGAAACTAAATTTAATGAATTGATTAAAATTTTGATAAAGGCGTAAAAATCACGCAATTCACGCTCCCTCGATTTTTCAAATGTTGTGGGTGCTCACCTTTTTGACACTTGAAATAAATTCCAAAATTTAAAGTTTCTATAGACATGACATGAGTGATTAAGGTGTATGTTTTCTATTTTGTCAAGAGTCGGTAGAAAAAAATTAACCTGCCACATTATTAAAATGCTGTGTGCACGAGGAAGTTTTACACGAAAATGAACAAAATCTCACTTCATAGATTTTTACTGGATGTTGGACATAAAAAAAAAAAGTCATACAGGTGTTGCCATGTGAGTATCTGAAAAGCTGTCTGAATAGTTAATATGTACAAAAAGTTTAACTGTATTAATGATAATTAAAAAAAGGAATAATTGCAGCGAAAGCCCCAAACCTTTGAAAGATTATCAGACTTTTCACAAATTTTTGATTTGTTGCAGCCGTTACCCATAACATTTTCAAACGTTGCACGAGAGTCCCTTTGGACGGTTTCCATCTATTTATCCGTCATTTGACCACTAAAAAAAATTGACAACTTTCTACCAAAATAGGGAATGGCAAAATGGTAACTTACTATTCTTCCCATAAAATAATTTAAAAGTTAAATTAAAAAAATAAAAGAAAAGAAAAAAGAAAATGTATCTTCTTCTCCCCTTACCCCACCACCATGCACAAGCCCAACCCCTCAACCCAAAACCCCCCAATTCCACAATCAAACCCCTTTCCAGTTTCTTTCATTCGTTCAATTGTCTGTCACCTAATTTTCGGGCAAACCAAACTCGGGTGGAACCCAACGGTAAATAATGTTAATTCCTACAGTTCGTTGGAAATAGGATCTTGTTCAATGGAGAAAAAACTCATGTGATCACTCCGAACCTCCGACGAAGAATTCCTCTCCGCCGCCACAAAATTACCATTCAAACCTTCAAAACCCATTCTCAAAACCCTAAATAATTCTGAAATTAATCGATCTAATATCATTTCCACTCTCCCTATTGCAATCTTTAACTCCATTTCATAATCAATTTCTCTTAATAAAAGCCCATATAGTTCCAATTTCACAGCATCCCCAGAAACTCCCCCGCGTAGTGTCGAAGATCCCTTCGACAAAAATTAAAAAAGGAAGACGACGATGTTTCTATTTTGCCCACTAAAGACTGAAATTTTGCGACAAAATGTTGTTGAAAAGCTCCAGATTTTCAACAACATTTTGCACGTGTGTTCCATCTGAAAAAAAAAATTAATTTTTGACTTTGAGGCAGTTAAATTAATTGCCCGTGAGGTTGGGAATTTTCCTACTGATTTTGTAGGTGATAATGAGTTACATGTGCCGGTTATATGTGGGCTGGCGAGGTGTAATAAGAGGGATATAGATAAGGGAGGTCGGGCAAGAGTTTCTTATGTTGGGTCCCTTCGTCACCTTAAACCAGAAGTCAAAGAAGCAATATCATGTTCATGGTGGTGGTCGATGGCAGTGGGCGTGGTGGTGGCAGTGGCAGATTTTTGGTTTTGGGTTGAGGGGTTGGGTGTGGGGATGGGGGTGAGGGTGAGGGTGAGGGTGAGGGTGAGGGAGCCGAAGATACATTTTCCTTTTTTCTTTTATTTTTTTGTTTTTGATTTAATTTTTTAATTATTTAATGGGAAAAATAGTTTGCCCTTCCCTATTTTGGTAGAAAGTGGTCAATTTTTTATTTTAGTGGTCAAATGACGGAGAAATGGATGGAAACCGTCCAAAAGGGCCCCACGTGCAACATTTAAAAAGATTAGAGGTGAGGGCTGAACCAAATCAAATATTTGATGAAAGTCTGCAAATGTTTCAAAGATTTAGGGCTTTTGCTGCAATTATCTCTAAAAAAAAGCAATGGAATCACTTCATGGAAAAAGCAAGGGAATCCTCTCCCTCTGGTTCTCCGATGAGCAATGGAAAAATTTCTCTTGAATCGGCGTGATTTCATTTTTCTTCTAGTTGGTTAGTGGTGGGGCTGTGTTGGTGGTGGTAAGGAGTGAAGAAGGGATATAAGAGGGATTAGAAGGATACAACATTGTTTTTGATAATTCAAGTTCTTCAGGTTCATTTTATTACTCGTTTTAAGACACGTCATATGTACATAAATTGCATAAATAAATTTTTTGAATCCTGTATAGTAAATCTTATCAAACGCAATCTAAGTGCATGTGATGTTGTGCCATACATTTACTATATTCACAATTTAATATATTTATACATTTCTTATGATTCACAATTTACTATATTCACACTCGAAAGCCATGTTCTAAAATGCGCGCAAATGCGCCGCCTAAGCACACCTAGGCGCGACGCGTGGAGAAAACGTGTCGTATTCGGGGTATGCGCGGAAAATGTGTTTTTGTTCTAAAAGGCGGCGCAATACGGGCTCCTAATCCCACCTAGGCGGCACATTATGCCGCATAATTTTTTTTTTTTTTTGGTAAAAAATCTATTTTTTTATATAAAAATATATTTAATGCCTTAAAAATACGAAACGCATTATGGCGCTTATTCTTCTCATTGACACGTCTAAACTTGTGATTCTTTAATTTCGACATCGACGCATCGCAACGTATTACGCATTTTAGAACATTGCTCGAAAGTACCCAAGAGGCTTAATTTTTTGTAGACTAACATTAAAACTGTATAAAAACTTTTAATTCTCTCTAAAAATTAATAATTTGTTAAAGGGCGCATTTAAAAACAAAATTACATCAAGTTGTTCTTTTCGTGCTATTCCTTCAAGGGTTTGTTCTGAATATTAGTAAGTAATCCCAAGACTTTGTGTAGGTCTGATTCACTTCTAGATATATTGGAGATCAAATTTAATCGAATTTTTAGCAATTATCACAAATCATATTAAATAGACATTTCTTCTTCTAACTTATTATTTGATTGAGATTATGAGACTTACAAGAGTTCCTTGCACATCTGTTGATGGTAAAAAGTGACTCGACACCTTTTAATCAACTTAGAATGGAATATCTAGGTTAAAATGCAATTTTTATTGTTTTTATGACTTTAGACGAAACTTATTGTGAGAAAGCTATTTGAAATACTCAAATCTCGCTCACTTTTTTCATATCACAAATCGGAGGGAAAGTCTTCCTTTTAGCCCCGTGTTGAAGTGTGATCCAAATTATGTTGGGTATTGGTAGTTTGGTTAAGGAGGTGTTGAAGAAGCTAAAAGATGGATCAAAAAGAAAAAGTCATCACATTTTCGCTCGTTGTGTGCTCATCTCCCGCTTGAGCGCTCAGAACAGTTCCATCGTCTCAGTCCATTTAAAAACTACAATTAGGGTTGTATATATATTCCAAACTTATCGGTTCTTCATAAAGTTAGAAAATGTTAGATTTTAATTGAGAGTATTAAATCTTGTAACAGCAATTTATTATTTTGATCTCCTCATCTTTCATAAAGAATGCATTTCTAAAGTTGGCCATGGCACTTCGCTGCATGTCATTTCCTCGAAACATCCTACCTGGAACGCTAGTGCCACGTGTTCTCTGAGGTGTCATTGTTGTGGAATAAATATAACAATATCCATGCAATGCAATTAGATGAAGTTTTTCACTAAATGTCAACTTGTGTGAAGCTATTACAAATAATTCCGTGTTGAAATTTAAAATCAACTACATGACAGTGTTGGTGGGTGTGTGTGAGGTGTTGTTGCCACATGACTATATAACTACTAATCTCTACCTTCCTATAAAAGAGAGGATGTTGGGAGTACTGTTCATTCTTGGTTCCTCCTTTTCACACTCGATTTCCCAAAGTGGTTTGGAAATAGTAATGAGTTAGATCTGGGATTTACTGTTCATGAAGTCCAGGTTCTATTTTTACAAATCTTTTTGCACACGTTTGTTTGTATCACTTTTTCCCCTCATTTCTTAGCAGAAAGAAAGCAACCCCTAGCAGAGTCGAGCCGTCTCTGATTCTTCCACCAAAATAATTGATGCATGTCTATCTTCTATTTGTTTCTCTCATTTCTTTGAAGAAAGAAACCAAACCCTAGCAGAGTCGAGCCGTCTCTGATTCTTCCACCAAAATTATTGCTGGTTGTCTATCTTCTATTTGTTGTTGTCGCTTTTACAATATTTTTCTCTTGTTCATATGATTCTTCGAATAGAAACCTTATCGCTGTACTCTCGTCTCCTTTTTTTAGTTATTCCACAAAAACCTTGGTTGTAGTCGATCTTTCAAAACTGTTGGTATTGTGGAGGAAATACAAGCAAATAACATTTTCATTCTTGTGTAATTCCAAAATGACATTTGACTAAAAAATAGAATTAAAAAAAATAAAAAAAAAGGTGAAAATATAACATTACTTGGAAAAAGTCAAAAATACCCTAACTTTATCAAAAGGAAGGCTCTCACTCACGGATCTGGGCCGGCTGTCACTTGGGCCACAGTCGGCCCAGATCCGACTGTCTGGGCTAGCTGTTATTTGGCCACAGCCGGCCCAGAGCACTAAATTTCTGGGTACTACGTTTTTGGATCGGCTGTTAAGTCGGTATATATATATATATATACATATATGTATTACGTGAAATATTTGTGAATTATTTGTCAAGTTACATGATTATTATTATTATTATTAATGCTTATCATACTATCATATTGGGAAACTAAATGGAACTTATGTACTTAATTATGAAATAGAAAGTGAGATATATTATATGAGATTGAAATCTACCAAAAAGTATACAAAATTTTATTTATTCTAGGGCATTGAAAGTCTCGGTCGTGTTCTATAGTGGACATAGGAATCTTGGCCATGTATGATAGTGCATTGAGGTGTCTTGATCATGTAAATACAGTTAATTGAGGGGTCTTAACTGTTCTATAGAATATATTATCAAGAGTTTTTAGGACTCACTTTTGTGCATTGACGAGGCCTTGGGTTAGACTTTCAACTCTGTCCAAGGGTTTAGAATCAGAAGTCTTACCTTATAACAATTCCTTACAATAGTTAGACTTTCATCTCCGTCCAACATCTTTACTCCCCGCATCAACACCAAAATGGAATCGCCCGTTATTTTATTTAAATTCTTGAGCATCACGAGCTTGTTATTATTATTATTTTTTTAATCCAAATAAATAAATTAGCAGAAAACTGATTCACATTGCCGCGCACAACCACGTGAATGTACATGCGTTATATATATATATATACAGAAATGATCTAATGAGCACCGGTACTCATCTTATCCTAAGCACCAATGAGTTGGCACATTAATTCATTGGTGGATTGGAACTCACAAAATCTTTATCCACCAATGAATTAATGTGCCAAAATCTTTGTCTACATGCATAAATTTATGCGTCTGTACTTATATATATAGACTGCACGTTTCTTTAGTGTCTTTTAACAATGGACTTCATTTTAAAATTTTATGACCATTTACATTTTTGTTTATACATAGGATGTTCTTATCAATAATAAAAAAGAGATTTAATTTAATAGATCAATATTTTAAGTTCACATTTAAACAGAAATTCACTCAACTTTCTTAATAAATGATAATGAATTAGGATTTTGGGTAAGTTGATTTCGTGGGTGGCTAAGAATATCTCCCCTGCCATTGAAAAAGTAAATTGTTAGGACTCGGTGTAAGTAAACTCATTGTCTTCATGCGACGTTACATTGTTAAATGTATAAATGTGTTACCTAGATTTATTATTATGTGAACTTAATATTTGATTATTACATTTTATGTCATCATTAATGCTTCTCATGACATATTCATACACGTCAATACATCCATAAGCACATATAAAATTTCAAGAAATAAAACATTTCCTAATGTCAATGAATATTTTAAAAAGATTTGTATCCCGAATGTTTTTGTTAAGGGTTGTATGTATGTGCCATGAAATGTGTAATTAGAAAATGGGGTGTGAGACCTACGCACCCGACCAATATTC